CCCCTGCCCGCGATGTGCTGCGGGTACGCGGGCACTCCGAGGCACGGGAGTTGCTGCTGCCTCTCTCCTCGGGGAAATCGCGCTGCCGCTTCTGCACAGGACTGAGCTTTCTGTGACTTGGAAATAACAAGCAGTTGCGCCTCGGGTGAAAGTTGTATCAGGGTTGATACGGCACGAACCCCGACAGGAGAACGACCGTGGAGGCAACTGGGTTGCAGATTTGTTTCCCGGTGTGCATTTGAGCCTAAAAAAATACGTGCTCGGTTATTGTCAACAAGGAGAAGCGAGATTTTCTCCAGTCGTGGCAGGTGTTGCACACTGCTCTCGTGCATTGTGTGCCCTGCCCTAGCGAGGGAGGGGAGGAAACGGCGATGTTCCTGGGGAAAAAAGGATTGGGCTTAGGACTCTTGTCAACAGCAGTGAGTGAAGTTATTCAGTCTCCCGTTGGGTCTTGCTTTAAACTCCGCCTTTATGAATAGAGAACATACAGCAGCTGGCACTGGAGAGGCTGGGCAGGAGCAGGAGCAGGAGGCGGCTGGACCGATTGTGCCCGGTTTGCAGGCCCTGGAGCAAGGAGCAGGTCGTGTTCCCTGGCTGGCATGCTCAGCTTCTGTCACCGGTGTGAAGAGCCATCAGCCGGTCCCTCGGCTTAAAAGTGTATATTAACTTTCCAAGGGTGTTCACAACCTGTGGAAATGTACCCGATGATCTGTGGTTTGGGGGTCAAGTAGTTCTATTTTAATAGAGTCCTCATCCCAGGAAGCACAGGCAGCCTTTAAGAGGCTGGGGGGAGAGGCAAACTCAGACCATCCCAATGTACATGTTAGGTATCTGTCTTGTGAGCTTTCGTTTTTTGGTTTGGTGGTGGGGTTTTTTTGTTTGTTTTGTTTGGGGTTTTTTTTGTGTTTTGTTTTGTTTTTTTCTTACCCTAGATTAAAACAAACATATATGTAAGCCATGGACTTTCTTTTAACCCTGCACACAGAACTGTGCTTAGGCATTTAAAATGTTTTAAAATTATGCATGTAAAATGGGAGTATTCAGTCACTTCAATAATGAAGAAGGATGTTTACTTTTTTAATGCTGATTCTGAAACAATAATATGTTTATTTGGAAAAATTACCAAAAGTGCTTTTTTGTAACAGCATGAGTGAAAATTTTAGCCCATAAACAGCTTGGAAAGGTAGAAGCAATTAAGAACTGGAATTGAGGATGTGCCTGTTTTTTGGTTTTTGTTTTTGCTTGTGTTTTTGTTTTTTTTTATATTAGATGCAACATGCTGATAATGGTGTGCTGTTTAAGTGCAGATCAGGATCCTCTGAAGACTTTTTTCTCTTACAGACCTTAAAGCTTTAATGCACGTAATAGAACATCATAGAATTGGTCCTTAAGGCAAAACGGAATTTCACATCAGCATTGATGTGTGTTGTTATAAAACCACCTGACTGTTTTGTACTCACAGAATTAAAAAAACATTTGTTATGAAACTACAGAGTTACATATGTGGTTTTGCAACACCTGTGATGATATCACTGTTTGGCCAAGTTATTTATGCATGTTATGCTAAATCACATTGATCATGTCAAGTGAATGAAGTTACAGAAGGGATTTATTAAAGATGCTAGTGGGCAACTTCCTGTTTGTTCTAGTGTTCTTACTTCTTTTTAGGGTAGAAATTTGGTGCAAATTGGCTTAGCCAATGGATTAAAAGTGTACCTGCTTGCTTGCAAGACCTGCTGAAAAACGTATTTGCCTTTATTTATAGGGTTCCCATCCTTACTGTGAGAGTATTTGGATAGGCTGCTTGCTTCAGTTCTGCAGCAGTGGTTTCTCTCTCCTTAACTGTTTTGCCCTCTAAGGTCATAGAATTCAGTTCTGTGATTCAGCAAGTTTGGTCTGAAAACTACAGCTGCAGAAGGTGATGCGTTTACTTCTTTCCTTGTGCTGATACTGGCATTTGCCTGTGTAAATAGCAAGTCAGTTCAGGAAGATAGTTCCTTGGCTCTTCAGTGTTTTTGATGGGGTTCATGCTCTGGGAGTTAGTTCACTGAAATAGTCACAAGAGGACCAAAGTCAGCACAAGGGAAGAGAGAAGAATGGGTACTCACAGGCACTTGAAGAAGTGATGGAAGGGTGGAGAAAGGGGTAGATGTTTTTCAGATTTGCTTAGCCATGTTGCGGGAAACAAGTTGGCCGAAAGTAATTTTTTAGGCAGTTGTTGAGGTTGGTGGCATAACATTTTGCCCCCATGCACGTTTTCTGGGAGGAGAAAATGAGAGATCAGCAGCTTAAAATTTAGTTGTGCTGTTTCATAGGTTCTTTGAGGAGTGAAGAACTTTATGAGCACAGGCCCTTAACTCTCTGCTTTAAAATGCAGCTTGGTATCATCTTAGTATTGTTGTAGTGTTCTGAAGTACCTTTAATCAGGGCATTGATAAATACAATGTCAATGGCCTGTTGTGAACAGTTGTTTACTATGTTTTTTGATGCTATAGGTAATCTTATCTGGAATCTTAGGCTTAATGACGTGGAAGAGGCCGATGATGGTCTTGGTAAGTATACATTGAAAGATGCTTTAAGGAAATCATCCAGAGGTTCTACTGATTTAATAGTAATTGTTAAGTAATTTTGGGTGAAAAGTCCCTCCTCAGTTTTCCTGTAGACCCCTCCAGGAAGGCTGGTATGAGGTCTTCCTGGAGCCTTCTCTTCTCCAGGCTGAATAGCCCAAACATCTTGGCTCACATACAGGTCTCTACCATTAAGTCAATAAATGGTATTCATACAAAGGTTTTCATGTCAGTCTAAGCAAACAACAAGAAGTATACTTTTAAAGTGTTAGACTATGAAATGCCTATTGGAGATGCTTTTAGCCTTCATAGTCAGGTCAAAATCAGGTCTCTTCTGATTTTTAAGTTAATTTTTATGCTGAAGAAGCTTTCTCTCATATGGTATATTTTAATGCTGCATTTGAAGTATGTAACTTTATTAAATTAATTAGTTTGTCTTCTGCATAGCTTTTTCATGTTGACAGTTGTGTTGCAGGCCCCCATGTGGTACAATAAATAGCTCTCAAACTGATAGAAAATTAGTAACATCTCAAAATGAATGCTTAAGTGTTGTTATTACTGCTGTGTATATGGAAAGTCAATGTTGACTTGCTTTTTCTTAGAATCATGATTATTACATATATGTGAAGCATGTAAATTGACGTAAGATGCTGGGCCAATTATGAATGTTGTGTACAGTGGGACAGGGTGCATTCTCAACAAGATCACAGACAAAATAAAATTGGGACAAATGACTGATAAACCAAAGAGTGCCATTCAGAGAGACCTGGACAGACTGGAGACATGGGCTGAGAAGGATCTCATGAAGCTCAAGAAGAGAAAATGCAAAGTCCTTTTTGTGTGGGGAGATCACTCCAGCCACCAGTACACACTGGGGAACAACCTGTTGGAAAGCAAGTCTGCAGAGGAGGACCTGCAAATGTTATAGAATTATAGAATTATGTGGGATGGAAAGGACCTTTAAAGGTCATCTAGCCCAACCCCCCTGCAGCGCACAAGGACATTGTCCAATAGATCAGGTTGCTCACAGCTCCGTCCAGCCTGATCTTGGATGTTTCCAGGGATAGGGCATCTATCACCTCTGTGGGCAACCTGTTCCAGTGTTTCACCACTCCCATTATAAAAAATGTCTTCCTTCTAGCATGGTTCAATCCACTCACTTTGCTTAAAACCATCACCCCTTGCCCTATCGCAACAGGTCCTACTAAAATGTCTGTCCCCACCCTTCTTAGAAGCTCCCTTTAAGTATTGAAAGGCTCTCCCTCCTTCCCCCCAGCGGCACAGGGGGACACGGGATGGGGTTTAGAGTCAGTTCACAGGCTGGTGGTTCCTGCTGCTCCTTCCTCCTCAGGAAGAAGGATTCCTTACAGTCCTTCTCTGCTTCCCCACAGGATCCCTCCCGTGGGAGAGAGTCCTGCATGAACCTCTCGTTCATGAGTCCTTCCCATGAGCTCCAGAGCTGCTCCAGCCTGGGCTTCCCACAGAGTCACGGGGGCTTTGGGAACAAACTCCCCTGGCACCAGGGTCTTCCACAGCTGCATGATCAGAGTCCACTGGCAGCAAAATCCAAGTTCACTCCTTGTGGTGCCTTCAAAGACTCACAGAATAGTCATGATTGGAAAGGACCTCTGAGATCGCTGTGTCCAACCATAAAAAAAACAAACCCAAACAAAACACGAAAAACAACCACAAATAAAAAAACCCCACAACCCTTCCCCCCCAACAAACCACAACACTCCACAAAACCACACCCCCAAAAAGCCACAAAACTCACAACCTACAATCTCAGCCACTAGAGCCCTGAAGTTCCTCATCCACACATTTCTTGAATACAACCAATGATGGTGACTCCACCACCTCCCTGGGCAGATTGTTCCAGTGTCTGACCACTCTTTCAGTAAATAATTTCTTCATAATATCCAGTCTAAACCTCCCCTGCTACAACTTCAGACTGTTTCCTCTCGTGCTGTCATTATTCAGTTGGGAGAAGAGGCCAACACCCACCTCTCTAGAACCTCCTTTCAGGTAGCTGTAGAGGGGAATGAGGTCTCCCCTCAGCCTCCTCTTCTCCAAACTATACATCCCTAGTTGACTCAGCCGCTCCTCATACAACATGTTCTTTATGAATGCAGGAGGAAAGCCTGCTATCTCATCATAGGTTGCAGGGAAACTTCGTCTTAGGCACCTCATTTTCCTCCTTCCTCACCAGTTACAGGCAGCTCTGCCTCTCCAGCTTATCTCTTTCTTAACTGCTGCTCTGCTCAGGTTTTACCTCATTTCTTTTATACGATCTCTTTCTTAACTGCTGCTCTGCTCAGGTTTTACCTCATTTCTTTTATACGTTAATTGCAGAGGTGCATCTATTGTCCCTTTAATGGCTCCCTGGCTGGTTTTAGAGCAGGGGAAGCTTCTCAGCTTCTTACTGGAGCCACTCCTGGGCCCATCCCTCATTACCAAAAAAACCACCAAACCAAAGCAGCACAGCTGGCCACCCTTCTTTTGATGCAGCCCAGGATACAGCTGGCTTTCTAGACTGTGAATGTGCATGTTGCTGGCTCATGTCCAGCTTTCCATCCACCAGTACTCCCAAGTCCTTCTCCTCAGGGCTGCTCTCAGTCCCATCATCCCACAGCCTGTGCCCTGATGCAGGTGCAGGACCTTGCACTTGGCCTTGTCATGGGTCACGTGGACCCACTTCTTGAGCTTGTCCAGGCCCTTCTGGCTGGCATCCTGTCCCTCAGGCATGTCAACTGCACCACTCAACGTGGTGTCATCTGCAAACTTGCTGAGGGTGCTCTCAATTCCACTGTCTGTGTTACTGAGGAAGATGCAAAATTGTACTGGCCCCAGTACTGACTCCTGAGGGACATCACTTGTCACTGATCTCCATCTGGACGTTCAGCTGCTGACCACTAACTCTCTGGATGCAAATAACCAACCAATTCCTCATTCACCAAACATTTCACCCATGAAATCCATATCTTTCTAGTTTAGAGAAAAGAATGTTATTGGAGACCATGTGGTAGGACTTACAGAAGTCCAGATGGTATCTGTAGCTCTTCCCTTGTCTAGTGATGTAGATGCTCCATCATAGGAGGCAGCCAAGTTGGTCAGTCAACACACTGGCTGTCTTGAATCATCTCCCTGTCCTCTGTGTGCCATAATGTGTCATGTGCTTTAGGAGGATCTGTTCCATCATCTTTCCAGGCACGAAGGTGAGACTGACAGGTCCATTGTTCCCAGGGTTCTCCTGTATAGCCTTTTAAAAAATGGATACGATGATTCCCTTTTTCCAGTCACCAGGAACTTCACTTGATTACCATTAAATGTCATGGTTTAGGCCCAACATGACAACAAAGAACCAACCCCATGGCTGGCTCACTTAATGCCCCCCCTCACACATGCTGGGGGTTGTGGAGGACAAAGGCCAACTAGAAGCTTATGGATCAAGACAAAGGACAAGGAGTGTTTTCCACTGATTAAGGCCCAAATTACTTTTCAGATATCTTGGAGAGTGTCTTGGCAACTACATTGGCCAGTTCCCTCAGAGTGCTGGGATGCATCTTGATGGGTCCCATAGAGTCATGCACATTCATATTCCTCAGATGGTCACAAACCTGATCTTCTCTTACAGTGCAGGGGAGTTGTTCCCCCAGTCTCTGCCTTGTAGTCTATCTCCTCAAAAGTTGTGGAAAGAGAGGCCAGGGAATATGAGGCAAAAGAGTTGTTGAGTGCCTCAGCCTTCTCCTCATCTGTTGTTACCCGTTTGCCAGTTGTGTTCATTAGGGCTTTCTTTGACCTTCCTTTTCTGGCTGACATACCTGTGAAAGCCCTTTACGTTATTCTTTACATCTCTTTCCAAGTTCAGCTCCAGCTGCTCCTTGGTCTTTCAGACCCCATCCCTGCACATCCAGGCAATGTGTCTGTACTCTTCCCAAGACACCTGTCTCTGCTTCAGCTGCTTTTGCAGTTTCTTCTTGCCCTTCAGTTTGACAAGCAAGTCCTAACTCTGCTGTACTGGTCTCTTGCCTTTCTTGTCTGATTTCTGACACCTGGGGATTTTTTCCATAGAGCTTTTGTGCTCTATGGACAGTGTCCTTAAAAATCTACATGATCCTGCTGCTTCCTTGTCCCTGAGGGCAGTTTCCCAGGGGGTCTTGTTGACAAACTCCTTGAACTTTACTCTTTGCTTGACCTCTATGTATCCCTCAGGACTGTGAACTCCACCACTGTGTGGGCACTGCAGCCCAGGCTGCCTCGAATCTTGACATCACTTGTGCTGGTGACCCCCATCACAATATTGCATCCCCTCTGGTAGGCCTGTCTATTACCTGGCCTAAGAAATTATACTTAATGCATCCTAGGATTCTCCTGGATTGATTAAAGCTCACTGTGCTACTTTTCCAGCAGATGTTGGGGTGGTGGAAGTCCCCCAGCAGGATGAGGGCCTGTGAGCATGATGCCTTCCGCAGCTGGGGTAATAAGTTGTTGGCAATAGATTCCCTTTGATTGGGTGGCCTGTAGTAGGCACCAACCACAAGGTTCCTGTTGTTGCCTCAATCTCTAATGCTTACCCAGTCTGTAAGCTTCTCAGGAGGGCAATTTTCTCACG